CGTATTCTGAGTGATTTAAGCAGGTTTCATATAGGCAACGAAGTTTGGCTTCAAAAAATTATAGGAAATAAAATTATGTTTGAACAGGCAATAATTCTAGATAGTTAAGGAATTTGACATTCAAATGTAATTTAATTTGTTTAAATATTTATACAATTTGAAAAAATCAAAAATTGTATTTTTTAGATATGTGAATATTTAAAGCTGTATATTATTATAATTACAACAATATTTATGTTTTTATTCATTTGTTATATTTTAAGCTATATTTAGTTTTGCAAATATTTTATAAAGTTATAATTTTAAGAACGAACTATTTTTTTGTTTTAAAATATATAAAATAAATTAATATAGAATATTAAAAATTATTACGGCTGAGAGTTGAGTATGTTATGAAGCCTTGAAAAACTAAAGGCTTTGCAGGGCAACAGATTTTTGAAATTTTTTATGTTAAAATTTTAACAATATTCTGAGACCCTAAAATTCATTTTAAATATTTTCTATTTTTAGTACTAGTTTTGTGCTAGAAAATATATATAAAAAATATAATCTAAGAACCTTAAATTTTGGAATGAAAAAATAAATGTAATTTAATTTTTTTACTTCAGGCTCCTTATTTTTACACACACGTATATATAACATATATAAGTATAGATCACAGAAATCAGTTCAGTTTTAAAAAAAGGCTTGGCTTACCAAATAGTAAGCTTTATCAGGCTAAGTTCCGATTCAGATCAGAGATTTGTGTTTCAGAGGAAACTAGAAGAGAACTCGAGCAGCAGCTCAAAGGATTGCCAAGTCGTCCAACACTCTTACTTACACAAACTACTTTTTGAAAATAATCAAATCTAGTTCTTTCTCTTCCACAAATAGATAAGCCTATTAATTTTGTATTACACTAATCTGAGACAAACACTTGAATATAATTTGTTTAGACAAGTTCTTGCGGGTTCTAGACAACTTTTAAAATGGTCTTTTCATTAGATGCTGCCACAATATTGCGAATAGACTCGTTGAATTTATTTTGGCCTCAAGAGAAAGCAGTTTTTTTTCTATTGCAGCAACAACTGTAACTGCAACACACACACACTAACACACGCTCGATCGCTGCGCATGCGCAACTCGGGTTTTTTTCTGCAGCGCGTCTAGAATGCAATTTCTGTTTCTCTAGCGAAACGTTTGCCGTGCGCTTCTCACTGTCTATGTGCCTGTGTGTGTGTGTGTGTGTGTGTGTGTGTTTGAACTTTGAAAAGTGGGTGAATGTACAGTAATGTTTGCTGCATGCTGACGCTGCGGCTTCTTGTTGCTGCCGCTGCTGCTGCTGCAAAAAACGTGGCAAATTCGTGATGCACAAAGCGCTGGTGGCTCATAGAATTGGGCATCATAGAGCGCAGTCGGAGTTTAGAATGCATTCGTTAAGGTCCCACACAGAACAGTAATCAAAAGCAACAGTAAATTTTAAAGTACCCACAGCAGCAAATGAAACATCAAAGCTCATATGATAGGCTTTTCAGCTCGCTTATCTGTTTTTAGTTTGTTGCATTGAAGGCCACGCCGTTTCATAAATTGGCACACTTATGCAAAGTCAACGACTCACGCACACACTCACACACACACACAGACATAGACTTAGCGGCTAGTCGTCGTCGTCGTCGTCGTCTGACAGGCAAGCGCTTAACGCGAGGCCGAAGAAAAACAGTTAACTTGTTTCGCGCGCTGAGCCGAAAGCAAAGCTGCGCTCACCGTGGCGCTCAGCTCTATGTTGGTGTTAGTCTATGTGTCTCTCTGTATGTGTGTGTGTGTGTTGCGTTGCATAACTTTCATGCCAACGCAGCCAGCGACGACTTGCCGCAAAGTTCATTCGCCTCGTGCACTCCATTCGCCTGCCTTAGCCGCTCTCTCTCTCTCCCTCTCTCTTGCTCTTTCACTCTATGCTCTTCACTATTCTGGCTGTTGGCTCTCTGCAGTTAACTGCTTCTTAGGCCTTTTCTTTTTTGGCTCCAATTTTGTTGCGCTTTGATTGCTTTTCTCTTTTTTTCTTAATACATATTTCCAGAGCTTGGCTTTCGTTTGGTTTTCTTTGCCTGAAAAACTTCGCTTTGGGTCTCTTGAAAAGGAATGTTTCTTGTTGTTGGTGACGTTTTTTGGGTGAATGTGTTTTGTGTTTTATCTGCGGCATACGTGTGTGGCAGCAGACATATGCCAGATCTGCTGCCCGATCTGTGCAGCATTGTTTAAGGTCAGTTCTCTTACCTAACTTTGATTGCATTTCATTTTTTCTTTGTTTGTCAACAAACAACAATTTTTTCGGCTAAAGAGTTGACTTTTCTGTTTTTCTTTTAATTAGTTACGTGGAGTTCGGTGACCGGTCAGCTAAGTACTCTTGATGCTGTGTACGTAAGCATCAAGAAATATGACTGCATTTAGAGGTGAGAAGATCAAACAGTCGCCAAGTGCCAAGGGTTGAGAGTCTTTGGTGCAAGAGTCCAAGGAAAATGCTCAACTGAAATGACTAATGGAAGTTTACTAGGAGAATAATGTGGTTAACTTAAGGCTCTACTTTAATAACCCAATCAAGAATATTATATTTTAGTTATAGACTACAACGTGATAGCAACGAGCTGTCTATCTTTTATTTAGTTGCCTGCATGCATCATATATAATTCCCAAATGAATATTAATATTATGAATACATATTTATTTTTACAGTTCACATTGCACAATTGAAAATTCTATAAATTTTCAATAAGTTTTCAAAGCGAATGCACGCAAAGCTGCACGCGAAAAACAATTACAAAAGCTCTAAAGGCTTAGAACAAAAATGTATGCAAGTCACACACAGGCACACATGCAAACAAAAGCAAATGCCAACAAAAACAGTGCAAATTGTGACGCCCCACGAAGCGAATGCAGGCACTCATACCAACACACTCACACAATGCACATAGACGAATGGGAGAGGGAGAGCAAGAGCGAGAGCGCGAGCGTGAGCGTCAGCGTGAGCGAGCGAGCAGCAATGGCCGCGACAGCGACATTCAACTTGAACTTTTTGCGCACTCGCGCGCGCTCTCTCGCTCACGTGTGCTCATTGGCTTGCATAGAAAATAATCAAGATCAAGTTTCTTCCGGCATTTGTGAACAAAAACAAAAACAAAAACTAGAGCTTTGCGTTGTTGCTGCGCTGTAAAGAGAGCCGCGCAAGAGAGCACAGCTAAGAGCGCGCCACTGCAGTAGCTTTTGCATAAGTTCAGTGTGTGAGAAACTGTATGTGTGTGCGTGTGTGTGTGAGTGTGCTTTATGGCAAGTGCATTTGTGTGTTTGTCAGTCAATCTGTTATGATGTCACTGCCAACGCTGCCTGACACTCGACCCCCTTCAACTGCCCCGCCCCCGCCGCCAACCTCTTTTGCATGCTCGCCAAAATGTTTCAATTTGATGGATTTTTTTGTATTTTTATGACGATTTTACAAACGTTTTCCATTTGCTGCCCAAAACGCAGCTAATTTTCACTCGCCGTGGAAAGCGCGCGTCTTCCCCAACGTTCGCTACAAGCTATGTATGCTATATGCAAGTGCTTAAGTATGTATGTGCGTGCGTGCGTGTGTGTGCGATTCTTGGAACCGACGAAAACGTAGCAAAGCCAACAACAAGTTGCCACAGCAACAACAACAATAACAACAACAAGTGCAACACGGTAGCAGCAGCAGCGTCATCGTTGCAAGCATTGAACTCGATTTTGTTTTCATTGCCGCTGAATTTCTAAAACGCAGCTAATTAGTCGAGAGTGTTTGTGTTGTTGTTGCTGTTGCCGCTGCTGTTGTTGTTGGCCACGCAGTCGTCGCTTCTTTAGCTGTGTTCCACTTTTCTGGCAGTTTTCCACTTTTCCTCAGCTGCCGCAGCAGATTTCACACGCGGCCATGCAATTCATCATAAAAATTATTGTAAACTGCAGTCAATTGGCCTGGCGAACAACGAGAAGAAGCAGCACTAAGCCCGCAGAGGGCGTGGCAGAGGGGGCTGTTTACTTACTAAAAAAAAAACCAAATGAAAATAAGTTTTTCCAAGTCGCCCAAGCCGCGCCTTGTGTGTGTTTGTTTAAATAAAATGAAAGTTTTAGCGCGCCAATCTTTGACACACATAGAAGGCACTCTGCCCGTCAGTCAGTCAATCAGTCAGTCAGTCAGTCAGTCAGTCAGTTAGCCAGTCAGACGTGGCAGCAGACTTTGCTTACCGGCTGGCTGCAACACTTTGCAACGGTCGTTGCCATTTTGATTTTCGATGTGATTTCATTTTCTAATGTTGTCGCGATATTGTTTTCTACCTGCGCTGGATTAGCTTTTCGTCTGCGCCTTAGATGGACATATGAAAAGTAAGAAAAGCGCAATAAAATAATATCACGCATACGCCGCTTATGACGAGGCTGTTAAAAAGTGAAATAGCCAAAGGTGCCCATACAAAAGGTGCGTGCGTCGGTGTCTGTGTGTGAGCTTGTGTGTGAGAGCGAAATGGTAAAAAGTAAAAGAGAGTAGCGCCTAGCAGCGAAAGGGAGCGCAAGCTTACGCAGCACCGGTAGCGGCAGATGATGGAAACAACGCTTCACTTTTTTCGGGGGTTCAACAAACTTTTCGGGCAACAGCTTAGAAAGAACTTGGGTCAATAAACTATGGAAGCCACAGCGATCATCTGTTGTTGCTGCTACGGATGATGATGTTGATGATGTTGATGATGGTAATGGCGCTAGCTGCCGTGGCTATTGTTTGATATGCACGCATATTAAACAACCAACGCAAGAGGTCAATGGCAGAGCCACTCGAATCACCTATGAATGTTAAAAGGGGCATTGTAATGGAAGCTTGAAGAAGAATGCCCCTACAGCGGCTCCCACTTAACAATACAATTTCTTTACACATGTATATTTATTGTAGAATCTTTAGAATCTATCTTGTAAAGACTTTAAATTTGAATTTGTTTACCTTGGCATTTTTATTCAGCATTTATTAATTTTTCTATATATCACTGTTCGCCGGCATTCAAAATAAACGGTCAACTGGGAACACCAGCGCCATCTAGTTTACAGATATGCAAGCACTTCTTCAACAACATCGATTATTGAATTAAGTAGTTGTGTATTATCGACGATCCGCCACATTTCTAGGCAACTCGTCATAGAATCGATATACACAGCTAGCTGCAAACACATATCGCCCTGAAAATATATAAACAAAACGCATCTAAAAAAACACAAAATGAGTTCACCTACTAATAAACATGTCAGCGAAACAAACAATAATAGCAACAAACCAAAAAAGTCAGCCAAAACTAATTCCAATGCCAAGGGCGGCACCATGGACACGCGTGGAGAATTGGCGGACCTCATCAAGAAGAAGGCTGAGACTTCGGTAACAAGCAAATAAACAAACAAACATTATAAATAAATAAAATTACCAATCCACAGGAACAACTAGCCAATCTAGAACGTCAAATTTATGCCTTCGAGGGCTCTTATCTAGAGGACACACAACTGTGCGGCAACATTATTCGCGGCTGGGAACGCTACCTGACTTCGAACAAGGCTACAAATTCGAAGGCCGACAAACGTAATCGCAAATTCAAAGATGCTGAGCGATTGTTCTCCAAATCCAGCATTACCTCAATGGCAATATGCAATCGTAAGTAGACGGCAATTACATTAATGGAATTTCGAATCACACTTTCTATACGCAGCTGAACGCGCCAGCGAATCTGATTCCATAACAAACGAAGACTCCAGCGATAATCAGATCTCAATTAACCAGAATACTACGACGGCACACGATGGAGCTACATCAATTAAGTCGCAGGATGAAAAGGGTAAGGCCTGGCAAGACGAAGTGGGCGATATCAATGTGATCGATTAATCCACATTAAATATAATGATGAAGACTTTGGACGCTGGTGTGCTGTGATATATATCGATATATATATAGATAAAATAATGAAGAAACCCATAGAACTATAAGTTAACTTAAGAAGTAAACCTAAAGGTTTTGCATGAAATTTGATACACCTTAAATTTAACATGTTTCTACCTTATTAGATTCGCCATCACATCGAAACGATTCAGGCAGCGTTGGAGGCGCTGCCAGCAACAAAGAGCCCGGCACACCCACATCCAATACAAAAAGCAAATTGGGCTCAAGCTCGAGTGCGACGGCCAAGAAGAGTGGACACATCAACAAGAAAATACGGCATCGATAATAGAATTCGTCCTTACTCTTAGTATTTTAATCGTTAATCGAGTTAATCGTGTTTTTAACGTTGCACTTGTTAATGAATTAAATTTAATGATTTAACAATTGCTCTTTTTATTACAAAAATATTCATAATATGCATTAAATTTAGGCTACATGTAAGCACATGTCAATGCAAATTTAAGTAAAATTAACTATACATAATACGACAACAAATTCAACGTCAATTCAATTATTTCTTCACCTTGGCCATTCGATCAAAGATGCCCAAAAGCTTGCCTCGTGTCATTTCCTTGGATTCACGCAGGCCTAATTGATAGATCTCATCATGCATGGACTTAATCTTCTCTATTAACTGATCGGGTGTCAAACTGGCGAGCTCTGTAAAGTAAAAAGTATTAATAAAGCTTATCAAACGCCAAAAATCTCTGCATCTACTTACGAGTGATTTTCGCCCTGTCCGTACTGGTCAAGTTATGTGAGTAGTCAGCGCTTGGTGTGTGTATCGGTGTTCGGCTCATAGTCAGGTATTCATCCATGCCCGGAAAACGTTCTGGCCACTGCACTGGCGATTCTCTGAGCGTTTCCAGGGATATCAGCTCATCCTCTTTGGCGCTCAGCACCTTGTTGCTGGAACTGGCCGTCGTGTCCTCTCCGTTGTCTGCATCTGTATCCGTCTTAAGAATAGGCTCTGGTGAGAACATTTCAACACCCGGCTCCATATTATTCATTATTGCACTGATTTAATGTTAAATTGTTAAGTTCAGTTAAGCAAGTTGAATAAATTAATTAAAAAGGCGTTTGTATTTATTAACCCGAGCAATGTGACCGCATATCTCTAAGTCGTGGAGTTTTCTGTTAAATTCTAGTTCACAGTTTAGTTCAGTAAGTAATAGTTCAGCGTCAAAGTAAATCGATATTTTCAAAATTGTATTATGTTCATTATGTTTGTTTTTTAAATAATTAGACGACACTTTTATTTATTTATTATTTTTATTTTAAGAATATAATTTATATCAGCATACAATTATGAAAAGATTGTAATGTTCAAACCCCGTCGGAAATTTGAATAATTCCAATAACTTTACGATTATTGGCCTATCGATTCTCATTCAGGATCCGAAAGATTAACCAACACTACTCAATCGAAGCTATCACAAATATTTCATTTTAATTCTTCAGTTTTTGTTTAACAAAATATACCCTGGAAAGGAACGTATACTGGCCAGCAGCAGTCTCAGTATTAGAACGACCGGAGAACCAAGTTCAGAAATGGGCACGTCATCGGTCTTTCTAATTTGTTTATGTCTGCTCTCTACTAGCTGCTACGTGTCGGTGTCGGCCGATGAGCACAATCATAAGGTATATTTGTGTTTGTATTTGTGCCTGTGTTTGCATGGATTTGTATTATATGTATATATGTATATAACGCAACGCACTCTTTCAGTATAACGATCGAGAAGAAGTGGTACTATGGATGAACACGGTGGGCCCCTATCATAATCGTCAGGAAACGTATGCGTATTTCTCGCTCCCCTTCTGCAGCGGTGCCAAATCGAGTATATCACATTACCATGAAACTCTCAGTGAAGCTTTGCAAGGCGTTGAATTGGAGTTTAGCGGCTATGAAATGGATTTCAAAACAGATGTTCAGCGTACGGTCATCTGCATGGTTAAACTGAGCGAGGAGAATGTCAAGGCGTTTAAATATGCTGTAATGAACGAATACTGGTATCAGATGTATATTGATGGGTTGCCCATATGGGGCAAGGTGGGTGAAAGGGACGAAAACGATGGCAAATTTTACATACACACGCACAAGAAATTCGATATTGGATACAATGGCCAGCAAATCGTAGACATCACACTTACAACAGAAATGCGCGAAGAATTGAAAACCGATGCCAAAATCAAGTTCTCCTACGAGGTCAATTGGAAGCCCAGCAAAATTGAGTTCAAGAATCGGTTCGACAAGTATCTGGATCCTAACTTTTTCCAGCATAGGGTAATTGATTTGACTAATGCTGCTTGCTATTATTTATATTATTAACTTTATTTCTTGTTCATGCTCAGATACATTGGTTTAGCATCTTCAATAGCTTTATGATGGTCATATTCTTGGTGGGTTTAGTTTCAATGATATTGATGCGCACACTGCGCAAGGACTATGCACGGTATAGCAAGGATGAGGAGGTAGATGATATGGAACGCGACTTGGGCGATGAATATGGTTGGAAACAGGTGCATGGTGATGTTTTCCGGACGCCACCTAATTCTCTACTCTTTTCGGCCCTCGTTGGTGCCGGCTATCAGCTCATCTCTGTTGTATTTTGTGTCATTATGTTTGCCATTGTTGGTGAACTGTATACAGAGTAAGTAAACAGTTAAACAAATATTTAAGAATGCCTTTATAACATTTATGTTATAGACGTGGTTCGATGCTCTCCACCGCAATCTTTGTTTATGCGGCTACGTCGCCTATTAATGGCTATTTTGGTGGATCGCTTTACGCTCGGTTGGGCGGCCGTTTGTGGATACGTCAGATGCTCGCCTCGGCTTTCACGGTGCCCGTTGCTGTTTGCGGAACTGCGTTCTTCATCAACTTTATTGCAATTGGCTATCATGCATCGCGCGCCATACCCTTTGGCACAATGGTTGCAGTTACCTGCATTTGCCTTTTTGTCATATTGCCATTGACTCTCGTGGGCACAGTGGTAGGACGCAATTTGGACGGCCAACCTGATTTCCCTTGCCGTGTCAATGCTGTACCCAGGCCCATACCAGAAAAGAAGTGGTATATGGAGCCTTTGATAATTGTGCTGCTGGGCGGCGTGTTACCATTTGGTTCCATATTCATTGAAATGTATGTGGCAACAAAGTCTTTTATTGTTGGAAAATATTTAATAATTTTATTCGTTCTCTTTGAATCCAAAGGTACTTCATCTTCACCTCATTCTGGGCGTACAAAATCTATTATGTCTATGGCTTTATGTTGCTCGTGTTTACCATTTTAACTGTGGTCACCGTCTGTGTTACCATTGTGTGCACCTACTTTCTGCTAAATGCCGAGGATTATCGGTGGCAGTGGACGAGCTTTATGGCCGCTGGCTCGACGTCGATTTATGTATACGCATATTCATTTTACTACTTCTTCTTTAAGACAAAGTAAGTATTCTTAAGCTTTACAATTGTGAAGATCTTTTATATTTAAAATAGTCATATTTTATACCATGTTCGTTTTTACAGAATGTTTGGCTTATTCCAAACGGCTTTCTATTTTGGCTATATGGCACTGTTCAGTGGCGCTCTGGGCATCATCTGTGGCACCGTCGGCTATGTCGGCACGAATTTCTTCGTGCGTAAAATCTATTCCAATGTGAAAATAGACTAAAATTGTCCGGCTGTAGAATTCAATCCTAACCATTCACACCTGTATTTATTGTGTAGTCCTTTAGTTGACCCCTTTGTTTATATACATATATATTCATTTTGCTCTTTATCAATGTTTTTACAATTTTCTCATATTGGTGTCGATTAAAAATGAATGAAGAAACCAAAATCAAAGAATGCAACGCCAATGATACCAAACAGCCGAATCGTCGCCTCCCCCAATTGATCTATGTATATATAAATATATGGCACATATACTATGCATTTGTTGCATGTAAATGTGTTTTTGCGTGTGTGCGTGTGTGTGTAGTGTGTGTGTGCAGCAGTTATATTGTAATATCATATACCTAGAAACTTATCAAATCTATGCAATTGCAAATGTGACTTCAAATAATTTGCGCCAATTAAGTTTATATATACACTGCAGTAATGTGCTGATTAGCAATAGTCGATAATATTAAATTAATAAATCAACATAAAAACCAAAGTCTATGAACTCAATGCAATTAAACGATTGTTATCAATCGAGCCAACTTTAGATTTCCAATCGACGTCTCATTACCACGATTTTCTTTTCATTATTTTGAGGATGTCGAAACTTTATCGGCTAATTAAGACAATGTCTAAGTGAACAGTTAGGCGAACAATGAAAGTCTAGCAGCTTGATAAGAACACTTCGCTCTGGCATCCAATATAAATCATGAGCTGCTTCCGCACTCTGCCCTTAGCGTTACCTGACAGTATATAAATTGTGCTTGAGCTCAGCGCCGTGCTTCACCATGCTCGATGGGGTTTATAGAAAAGTGCCTTCACACTCAAGATAAGCTATGTTCGACATACGCTCTACCTGCACTTGATAGGAAACATACGTTATGTATGTTTGTATTTAGTAGAGCATTCAAATGCACGACTCATTAAGTGCAGAGCGGCAACATGCTCGCCTTAATTTATGCTAATGAAAAGTGCGTTTGGGTTTTTATGTTTCATTTGCTATTAAAATATTCTATGTCGCTGTGTGTGTGTAAATAACGGGGCTTAAACATTCCTCAGACTTTTGATACTAAAACCTTTTATTCCACTTGTTTTTCCTTGAGTGTGGAAAAGTATATATTCTGTTAAATCAAAGTTAATTCATAATCAATGGACTCGTTAAGCCCACCTGGTTCTAGAAATCTCCTATTTTATATACGTCTCAGCATCATCTATAATAAACATGAAGACGGCAACAAATTTTATGCGCAGATTGACACGAACTGAGTGACATGCCCCATCTAGGTATAAAAGTGAATCAATTTAAGCCCCAGCATGTGGCACTATCATGTTTTCCAACATAAACAACTATAAATGTCAAGACGCTGGCAATGTCACGACCCACAGCATATATTCATCTCTCTTTATCTACATATCTTTTTCTCTTTTCTCGGCCGCTCTCCACTTTTTTAAGTATGTGTAACGTTTATCTGATGAGAGAACAGTTATGGGCTAGCAGCCCACCTGGATAATATTCTTCGACTCATTTATGAACATAACAAAATGTTCAACTCTCATCGAATACCATTAAAACTAGTTCTAAGATTTCAATAGTCCTCAGTTCTTGATATAAATACGTAGGTTTAGCTCTAGTCACAAGTCAGTCCGTGGATGCTGTTGGCTTTGATCACATTGATACAACATGGAATCGCATAGCCTTTTGGCTCTCCTACTGTTGGGTAAGTATCAAAGGATGTCTGGATAAGCGATCCTCTAACAAATGTAATGCCTCATCTATAAGGCCTTTGCTCCACGATCGGCGCTTCGTTACTGAATTGTAATTGTCCGCCTGGTCCTCGGGGACCGCCTGGTCCGACGGGTCCTCCAGGTCTGTCGGGCCTTTCACGTAGAGCTGAATTCATTCCTAGTATTTGGGGATATCCACCTGTACCTGGTCCAATAGCTCCCATCATGGGTCCTAGGGGCTTGCCTGGTCCACCAGGACCGCCGGGCTATTGTTTTCCCTGTCCAAATAATCCGTTTGGACCCGGAATTGGACCCGGAATTGGACCCGGAATTGGACCCGGAATTGGACCCGGAATTGGACCCGGAATTGGACCCGGAATTGGACCCGGAATTGGACCCGGAATTGGACCTGGAATCGGACCCGGAATTGGACCCGGAATGGGAGCCGGACTCGGACCTGATACATTCGGTCAGAGCATTTCCACATCCATTGGCAATCTTATTATTATACCATCGAACCTCAATGGACGTGCTCAGCTATTCCGCATCACACCTGATGGCAATTTGATACGCGTCGAAAATTCAAAGAACGAACTCAACGAGATTCTACCGCCCAATTTCCAAGATCTACTTACGCAACAGGGAGCAGTGCCCACAGCCGACCCAACGGCAGTAATAACACCACCAACGCCAGATGATCAGCCCGAGGAATTGGATGAGTCAATGTTTGCAACAGCTGGTCAGAGTGTGGAACGTAAGGAATTACTGCGCGCCAGCTCCGATGCCAACGATTGGCGTCGTGTCCTGCTGCTGGGAGAGAAACCCGCAGTCAGCGCTGGCAACGCTGAGCCCAGCTCCACCAGTCAGCTGGAGAGCAGCATGGATAGCTTTCAGCGTGCGCTGGTCGATCTGAAAGATAAGTATGCCTCCCTGATACAGCCGAAAGCCGGCGATCAGCGCTATGCCGTTATTCTATAGATTATGTAATTTATGCCCGAAGACTTTTATTATAACTAATAAAACACTTGTCGATAATTATTTAAAAAGCATTTCTATTTACCGAAAGAAAAATATATTAGAATGTTTTGGGAAAAGAAAGAAAAAGGGTATACATATATATATATATATATATATATATATATATATATATATATATATATATAAAATATATATACCAAGGCAGTAACTGATTTATTCAACTAATCCGTTTGGTTTACAACAGGTGATTAGATTTGGTTTGAGAAAGTTGTTTGTTCAAAAAGTGCCCAACTCTTACCGAGTGTTGTTTAGCATTGTGTCATTGCGTCAGAGATCGACACGTGCATACCATATAACTGTCTAAGCATATATATAACAAAAGAGTGTTCTACTATATAGATATACTCTAAGCCAGCGCAAATACACGTGATATATATTTTTTTTATTTATAGAAGAAAAGCAAATTGATTGTATTTCTTGAGGTGCTTGAAGATAACATAATCATGCAGTTCTACAACGTCCACTTCTGACAAATTGATTGAATAAAATATCTTGATCTGGGCAAAACACAAATTCAACAAAAGCCTTACAATGACCTCAAAAAAAAAAAAATAGCGACATCTTGTTAGCTCGATTAGCCGGGCACGATAAGATCGACGAGGTTATTCATCCTGACAATACGAATGTATGATATATTCATATTTATACATTTGCACAACTTGTTTAAGCCCATTTCTTGGTATTTTCAGTAACGAAATGTTGGCTACAATATTTATCCAATCATTGACTAAAGCTCATAAGTATTAAATTATTAAATCAATTCTAACGAAAAATTCAAAGTGCATCAGCTTCACATCACATCATATAATCAGCTTTTCGGTTAAGAACTTCCCCAGAATCAATATGCCGAGTCATGTCGTTTTAGCAAGTTGTTGATTTGATGATAGTTAGTGCGTGTTAAGTATATTTGGAATCTATGTATAGAGGTATCAACGTTTTATTTTGTAGATATGTGGTACAGTCTGTAAGAATCGGATTCCTAAACCCAATTCGATGACGCTCAGAAATTTGCCCATAATAATCTCTGTGTTTTCTACTTAATGATAAGGCGTACTTGAGAATCGTTTGCTATCGCCTCCAAGGAGCACGACATTTAATTAAAATTAAGTCTCTATCAAAGCTGTCAATCAATCGCAGGCTGTCTGGCCATCGCCCACGCACGCAGCGAAGGCCAACATATGCGGAATGGTGTTCTGCTCGTAGACGCCGGTGAAGATATGAGCCCAAGGACCGGAGGCGAAGACGCCAACATCCTCGCCGCCATGCGTCTCCGACTCCAGGGGCGCGGTGGCTGGGAATAGTTGGGCTGCATCAGCGCCGTCCGACATCAATGACATGGGATCAACACGCTCGTGCGTCTCCACATTGTAGTAGGTATCAAAGCTCTTGCCATTGGCATAGCTTAGGGCCAGATAGGGCTTGCCATCGGTGCCGGAGGACTTGGCCTTGCCAAAGATATCGCTGCCGCGCTTCTGATAGCCGCCCATGCTGAAGGTGTGCGAGTGATCGGAGGTAACCACGATCAGGGTGTCCTCCTCGCTGGTCATTTTGCGCGCCAGCTTCACAGCCTTGGACAGCTCCGCGGTCTCGTCCAGAGCGATGCGTGCCATGGTATCGTGATGGCTGATATCAATTTTTCCGCCCTCCACAAACAAGAAATATCCATTTTCCTCTGTCTCCAGCATCTCAATGGCCTTCTGGGTCATCTCCTCCAGCGTGGGCTCCGTATTCTCTGGATCGGCCAGCTGCTCCTCATGGTAGTGCATGTGACTCTTGGAAAAGAGACCCAAAAGGCGATCCGTTTCCGCGGGATTCACCTTAAGCAACTTCTTGCGATTCTTCACATAGGTGTTGCGGTCGGACATGGCTTCGAACTCCTCGACCAGATTGCGCCCATCGGTGCGTCGTCCGTTCTTGTAGAACTCGAGGTCCATAAAGTTGCGTCTGCCGCCGCCAAGCATAACCTTCAGTTTGCTGCCCACCTCGCCATGAATCAGCTGCACCGCAATGTCATCCAGACCCTTTGCCAGATCTCCACACGCCTCCTCCAGCACTGCATTGTTCTCCCATTCCCGATCGGCGGTATGCGCATAGACGCCCGAGGGCGAGGCGTGGGTCACGCGCGTTGTGGTCACCAGACCAGCGGCTTTGCCCGCATCCATTGCCCATTTGCCCACGGAAAAGACATGATTCGAGGTATCGGCCATGGCCTCGCAGTCGCCACGCTTGATGTGTGCATTAACTCCAATCGTGCCGTAGTTGGCCTTCACGCCGCACAGATACGATGTCGAGGTAGATGCCGAATCGGGCACAATTTTGTCCACACAATAGGTCTTGGAGAGGCCAGTGTAGGGGAACTTCTCAAAGGAGAGCTTCTTCTCCTCGCCACCCATATAACTCCTAGCCGCCGCCAATGTGGCCAGACCCATGCCGTCACCCAGGAAGAGTATAATATTCTTGGCACGCTTCGTATTCCGCACATAGTTCAACTTCTCCAGAATATGTTCCTTGCTTGCTGATAGCCAATAGTCCTGGGTATCCTCGCCCTTGATGCGACGCGCACTGGAGCGTGCATTCTGCTCCAGATGCGGATGCATTGCATCGTCATCATCCTCGATTGGCTGGCCTGGCACAGCGCCACCCAAGACACAAACTGCCAAGTGCAGCAACAGCCAGAGACTGGCCAGGAATTGTACTGTTCGCATTTCTTTCGCGTTGTCTGCTCGATAGTACAGCAGATACTGTACGCTAAATGGGCTGAGCGGGTGCTTTATAACCACGGCTAAACGGGGCTACTGTTGTGAAGTGATGATAGGACGTTCGAGCTTAATTTATTTATGGGCAGCTCTTTAGTGCAGGTGTCAAATCGGCACTCGAAGCTGTGCGATCGCCACTTTAGATTGAAAACGCTCACAATAACAAATCATATACATATTCTGGTCGGACTATATTGACGGAGAGCCACTCGTAGGCTATATAACCATGTCTGCCGCACACCAGCTCAACAGTCTAACACCAAACGTTGGATGCAACGAAACCCAACTCAAAAAATAAAAATGGCTAAAGTTTTGGGTAGATTGTCTTTAGCGAGCTGCCTGTTGGCTCTGGCTCTAGTGACGTGTCCAGTCAGAGCAGACCTATCCGATGAGCAGGAGAATGGTGAGTAGAGAGAAAGGTGTTCGTTATCTATTGCAGAATCAGTTTATAAGCTTCTTAATCAATTAAAATTTAATGCACTTCGTGAGCTATAAATCAAGAGTTAATCTTATTTGTTTGTTTCAAGAAAATCCTAATCATAATATTATTAATTTTGCATTAACATTATGATAAGCCGTATCGTTGATAACTGTTGTATTTTTAACCCACATAGAGCAACATCCACGTATGAGTGCCTCGCGTGACTACGTGGAACTGGACGAGGAGCTCAATACACGTTTTTGGTACAATAAAGCTCAGAGCATATTGGCCGATAAGCTAACGATCCATAAAAAACTGAATGAGAATCGTGCGAAGAACATTATTTTGTTTTTGGGCGATGGCATGTCCGTGCACACGATTGCGGCCACCCGAGCCTTTATGGGTGATAGCAATATGCAGGTCTTCTTCGAGAAGTTCCCCTATGTAGGTCTCTCGAAAACTTATGCTGTGGATGAGCGCACTCCGGACTCGGCCAGCACCGCGACGGCATATTTGAGTGGTGTCAAGGCCAACTACGGCACCATTGGTGTCAATGCTCAAGTGAAACGAGGCGATTGTCTGGCGGCTACTGATAGCAGCACACACACTGAGAGCATTGCACAGTGGGCACAGGAGGCGGGCAAGTGGGCGGGTGTGGTGACAACGGCTCGTGTCACGCACGCTTCACCGGCTGGCACCTACGCTCATGTGGCCGATCGTGCCTGGGAACATGACGGCAAGATCACCTCAGATGGCTGCAGTGCGGAACTCAATACGGATATTGCACGTCAGCTGGTGGAGTGGCCAGTGGGTCGGGACTTGCGTGTGGTGCTGGGTGGTGGTCGTGCCTATTTCCGTGACAAGAGCATGAGGGATGAGGAGGGTTTTGCGGGCAAACGCAAGGACGGACGCGATTTGATCAAGGACTGGCAGCAGGATAAGGCGGAGCAAGGCGCTGAGGCTAAATATGTCTGGTCGCGCAGTGGTCTCAAGGATGTGGACCTCACCAAGACGGACTATCTGCTGGGTCTTTTCGATGTCAGTCACTGTCCCTACCATGCCGATCGCACACGCCTAAACTCCGAATACGTGGAGCCCTCACTCAGCGAGATGACAGAGGCAGCCATCAAGGTGCTAAGTCGCAATGAGCAGGGATACTTCCTCTTCGTAGAGGGCGGACGCATTGATATGGCTCATCATAACACGAAGGCGCGCAAAGCTCTCGAGGAAACTGAAGAGTTTGCACGTGCTGTGGAGCTGGCACGCGACCTTACCTCCGATGAGGACACGCTCATTGTTGTCACCTCCGATCACTCGCACACAATGACCATCAACGGTTATCCGGTAGGTGATGATGGCTCACTGCATTCCGTTCTCTTTTAATGCTTCTTTTAAATTGGCAGTATCGTCGCCAAAATATTCTCTCACTGGCCCCCAATTTGGCCCTCGATGAGATTCCATTCACCATTCTCTCCTACGCCAATGGACCGGGCTATGTGAATACCTATGATGATCAGGGCCGCATGGATTTGTCGAATGTAAATACCGCAGATGCTGACTTCCAGTTCCAAGCCACAGTTCCACTCAAGTCGGAGACTCACGGCGGCGAAGATGTGGGCGTCTTTGCTTCAGGTCCCCACGAGCACTTCTTCTCCGGCAACTATGAACAGTCCACAATACCTGCTCTGATGGCCTATGCAGCCAACATTGGTCCCTTTGCCCAGGACAAGCTAAAGAATTAGTTTAAATAAAGAATTTATTGTGATCAGCAGAATATAGAATAAGGTTCCAATAAGAATTTATATATGTGGTAAATTTAAGTGAGGGGGTGGAACGGGGTTTTGTTGGACGTATACAGAAATAAGGAAAGGTGAATGATATAATATAAATCAAGGAAAGTTGAAACGAACGGAGCAAAGGAATGAAAATTCAGGAAGGTGCTTGAAGTAAGGAACAATTAATGAAAATTGAATTATATAGAATATATAGGGATTATCATACATACTATAAACAGCCAATCAGTTAATAACTTACAAATAAATTATCATCCAGAACTGTCAATGGAAAGCCATTTTTAGATATTCTACATACAAATGTATTTTCGTTTAATTGTAGAATTTTTGTATAAAGTTTCGTTAAATACATTATGTAATGTTGCTTACGGCTAAGCTGGACTCAATATGCTCCAAGTCGTTCGCATTATTTACAGGTTGTTTTTATTTTCTTGTAGAAATCAAATGAGCTAAATGTTAAGTGTCACACAATGCAGTATTAGTTCTAATAAAAAAATGTTTAACAGTAAATGCATTTCGCTTACAAAGCTTGATTGTAAATGATTGTTAGAAATTGAATGAAAGAAAACTAAAATAACATTATGATGTAATTGCCAGGAGCTCGTTGGATTGTTAAAAAAAGTATGTCTACGTTGTTGGATTGGCCTACAAGATAACAGCTTATAACTATTTTTTATGATGTGTTCAGCTGGTGGTTGGTGGTTCTAAGTACATGCAAGTAAAGTCGAGTACCGGCTTTTTAAGACTGACTTAAGGGATTTTCTTTGATCTATTTTTGTTATTAGGTTTCCAGTAGCTTTGGCGGCGGCTGACCATCGACAGATGCTTCCACGTGCGGCGCTGTCTCGGCTTCATTGAGATCGTTGTTGGCCTCGTCCAGGCCGGGATTACAGCCCTCCAGGTCTAGTGTCTTGGGCAGCGGTCCAATTTTCTGCAATATGTCTACGGGCATTATCTCTCGCATTGTCGGCACCGGCTGTACTGTGAAGTGTGATGACAACGTGGGCAGGGGTGGCGGCGTAAAGTACGGGGGCACCAGTGTCTGGGGAGGCGGCGTCGATGATAGCGGCGATCTTGTCAGAACGGGCACGGGTACGGGCACGGGCACGGGAACTGGAACAGGCACTGGAACGGGCACAGGTGTTGTGACAACGGAGGGCACAGGTGCAACAACTGGTGTTGGTGTCTGCGGATAGCACGAGTAGCTCTGTGCACCCAGCACAGGTATCGGCTGTGAGGCAATGGGTGGAGGTGCCGTTGCCACGGTAGTCATAGGCGGCGGTCCACGCAAATAATGTGGCAAAACATTTTGTAGTGGTGGCGGCGGATGCTTACTGAAGAATTCTTGGAGCATCGCATCCGCTTGCGCGGGCAGCGGCGGTGGCCGATGTCGCATAAACGCAGGCATGGGTAGACGCCCAGATTTCACCAGCATTGCCATGTACTTCGGATCGAAACGGGGCGGCGGATGCTGCAGCGGCGGGCGTAGCATGCGTTCACGTGACTTTATAATTGCACCCTTGACCGGATCGAAGTGATAGTAGCGGAATCTGGGCTTCTTTTTTACGAGAACTGGTTTGTCCAGTTGCGCCGGCTTAGGCGCAACGGGTGGCAATGGCGCAGGCATGGCCAACAGCTGTTCACGTATGCGCTGAAGCTTGGCCGCTTTAGCGGCACAGCGCTCTCGATACTGACCCACTGCACGTTCCACGGCTATTTCCACAATTTTGCGATCCTCGCTGTCACTCTCATAGTTGGGCAGCACATTATCCACAAAGTTAACACGCTTGCGTTTGGGTTTACTGTAAAGACTTAAATTTATTGAACTGCCGAGTTAGGAAATTTACTTGTAGAAATACCTTTTGTCCTCTTGTGGTTCCTCCGGCACAACAGGCGGCACAGTCGTTAGCTCCACAGCTGAATCCATTGACGGCACGATTTCCAACACATTGCCCTTCTGCACAGCTACGGGCGCAATTGGGGCCATAGGCAGCTCCCGCAGCACGGGTATAGTTGATGCCTCCATCAGGCTACCAGCACTATAATCATAATCTATAGGTGTAACCGTTGTGTTTGCCGAGTACTCAGTGTATTGGGCATAGGCCTGGTCCATATTGTAGGCGGTATCCATGTAGGCCGCATAGCTATCGTACTGTTCACCACTTGCATCTTGCTGCATCAGCGACATATTGTAATAATAGGCAGCGGCTTCCATGTTCTGATTCTCCACAAAGTAATCTGCAAGGATCTGACCATGTGGCGATCTGGATCTGGTACGAGATCTCGTTCGACTGCGTCTCCGAGAGGGTGAACGCGAACGGGAAGTGGACCAGCTGCGTCGCATTGGCGGCGATGGCGGCTTGAATGGTAGCGGAGAGCGTGAGTAACAGCGCTCGCGACTGTAGGAGCGACGGCGCGATGGCGGTGGGGGAGAGCGTGGACCCAGCATCTTGCAAGGAGGTGACAATGAACTGCGGCGTCGTCCAGGCACCACTTTAGTGCGTCGCCTTCGTAACGGGCTGCGACTTCGCGTCCGACTGCGACTAAGACTACGACTGCGGCTGCGACCCATGCCCAACCGGGACTTGCCAAAGCGTGAGCGACGCGGCGAGTGCATTGGTCGCCTACGACGCGGACTGGGCGAACGTGTTGAGTCCTTGCTGCGACTGGGACGCACGCTGCGTCTAAACCGATTGCGTGACACCGAACGAGATCTGGAACGTTCCCGCGTGCGCGATCGTTTTAGTGGATGGTGTGGTTGTGGCTGATGGGGCGTCTGCGAATGCTGACGTGTGGTCTTGGTGCGCGTATCCATAATGGTGGGTTTTACAATCGCTATCTCTTTGTGCGGCTTGGTTAGCTTGCCATCGGCTAACGATTGCGGCACAACATCCGCCTCATCCTTGTCGAAAATTGCGGGCTTGCGTGATAGTTTTAAAGGTGAAATAGTTAGTTTGATTGCTTCACGATTTGCATCAAAGATATTGTTAACTGGCGACACTGGCCGTGGTTCCTGCTCCTGGTCCTGCTGTTGCTGCAGCGTCACTTGTTGTTGTGGTTCCTCCTCGCTGGTGGTCTTGAGCTCCGGCTTGCGATATTTGTTCATAATAGCATTGCGCTGTATGATGAACAGCGACTCCATTTTGAGCAGCTCTTCGCAGAGATCATCGCCCGAATCGTAGTTCTCACGCATCATTTGTATGCGCGCTAAATTGTCCTCCAGACTTTTTAGCTTGCGCAAATCCTTGCTAACATTGTTCTTTTTGTGGCTGAGTAGCTGTTTGTCAGCCACCGGTTCCTCCACGATAGTGGACTGTGATTGTGATTGGTCACCATCATCCATGCTCATCAGCTGATGGTCCTTTAACTCCTGTTTTTTCGCATAATTGTCACCCTCATCGGTGCTGGAATCATTTTCATCGTCATCGTCATCGTCGTCGTCGTCGTCATCGTCTGCGTCATCGTCATCGTCATCGTCATTATTGTCATCGGAACTGCTGCCGCTGCTACTGCTGCTGCTGCTGCTGCTTGACGTCGCCTCTGTGTCGCTGGAAGATTCTTCGGCAGTGGAATTGCTTAAGGAACTATTTGTCGTTGCCTGCGTTTTTGCAGCTATTGCTGTTGTTTCGTTTGCATTGGAGCCCATTATAATACTCTTCATGAATTTTTCGTACAGATCGTTAATGTTAATCAAAGAATTGTCGGCGACAGCTGTTCCGACCACAGTCGGCAGTTGTGGCGTTTGCGGCAACTTGGCCTTGGGCGGCGGAGTGCTCTTGGCATTCCACAGCGCATTCGAGTCATCGTCGTCGCCGTTAAAACGTGTTGCACCTGTTGATGCAGCATTTTTGGGCGTATTGCTGTCACCACCGGCCATGGAGTCATCATTTTCCCAGTTGTCTATGTAGTCATCAGTATCAGGACTATGCTCATTATTTTTGCTAGTTGTCTCGCGGGGCACCGTCGGCGGTGGCGCGTTGGCAATCAGCACACCATTGCGCATTGGCACCTCCCTCTCGACTTCACGATCTCTTGGCGGCGTCACATTGCGTTCCACCTTGATCTGTCGCGGTGTGAGCAGCGGTGGCGTCTTGGAGCGATTCTTCTCCTGCTTGATGACACGCTCTTTAAATTCGTCACTGTGGCGCACTGTCCTTGAGTCGCGCTCACGTGAGCTGTTGCGATAACTACTGTGCCGGTCCCCGTTACGTTGCATGCTGCGGCGCGACAACTCTGTGGAGCGCCTGGGAGAGATACGACTGGACGTTTCAGTTAATACTGTTTCACGCTTGAATGGATTGTTATGCCGCGGCGGCGCCGTCTGCCGTTCCGGTGTGCAGCGACTTTTTGAAGCCACATCTTGTTCAACAGGCTCCTGCTTGATGTGCACCTCCTTGGGTGTTTCCTTTTTGTTACGGTGTTCGGTGCTTTTACGCAACAGCTGTTCCTTTGTGGCCAGCAGCGCCTCATAATGCAGATCATTGTCCTCGAGCAGCGCTCCAATGCGAATGTGAATCTCATTGTGTATTTTGAGCTGCGGCGGTGTCGCTTTGGGAGGCTCTGTATTGGGTAGCGTTTTTATTTGAAGATTTTCCAGTGGGGGCGTTGTGCTACGCTCTGCAGGCAATTCGGTTTTTACTTCGGCAGTTTTTTCAGCTGGCTGCTTATTGGGTGGGCTGCTAGCTTTCTTCAGTCTTGGCGGGGATTCGGCAAATATATCAAAGGGTTTTCCTGCTTCGATTGGAGCCTGTGGTGGCGTTAGTTCCTTTTGGTCATTCTGTTGAGGTGTGCAATTGGCTTGTGGCAGTGGCGGCATGGGCGGGGTCTTTGCTCTAATCTCTGGCTTGCGACTATGACTTCGACTTCGTGTGCGACGATTTAACTTCTTATTATTATCATCGGCGGTACGATCTCGACGTCCATCTCTCGTTACTGAAGAGCGCTTTTCAATTAAGCGTGATGTTGACTTGTCTTCTCGGTTCCTCTCCTTTGGACGTTCCCTTTGCTTATCCAAATGTTTCTCTTTGGAGCGTTCTCTTGACTTGTCGCTTATTCTTTTGTCATTGGAACGTTCCAGTTGCTTATCGTTCGAACATTCCCTTTTCTCCTTGGAGCTGTTCCGTTGCTTATTTTTGGAATCTTCCTTTCTTTCTTTAGAGCATGTGCTTTGCCTCTCTTTGGAGTGTTCTCTCTTCTTTTCACGGAATCGGTCCCTGGAGCGTTCTTTGGGTCTTTCCTTTGATCGATCTCTTCTTGAGTCCCTGGAACGATCTTTCTGTATCTCGTTAAAACGATCCCTTTGCTTCTCTGTACGTTCCTGGGGTGCCTCCTTGATTCGCTTGCCTTGATCCTTGCCCGATTCTCTGTTACTTACACCACTGGTATCCTTGCCGCTACACTTGCCCGGATGTATCTCTTTTTGTTTGCAGCTTTTGTGATGTACATTGGCACATTCCGAAATCAAATTGAAAATGAACGACACTGGCGGCTGCGATGTTGTCCAGCTAAAAGTAGACACATTTCAAAAGCTCAACATAGTTAACTGTTTCAAATGGGCCCCGTATATATTTGGTATACTTACATTATATCAGACTGTGTACGCTTACTGCCTTGGCTTTGACCTTGGGCCTGACCGGGTGGCAGCGCAGGTCCATATGAGCTTGATGGCAGACCAGGCTGACCTTGAGGTCCATTGATTGGCGACACTGACGACAGTATGGGTGATGTGCACCTCGGCGTGGGACCTCGATTGAAAGCAGGTAGCCGATTAAAGAACATCGGTGGCATACCACGCATGCCACCACGCGGCATCCTGGGCATAAAGCCTCTGCGCGAATAGTCAATACACGGTGGACGCATATGAAACCTCAGTGGATTGAGCCCATGAAAAGGATGGGGGTTGGCATGTGGCGGTGGTGGTGGCGGTGCGGCCGCTGCAGCTGCTTCAGCTTGTTTTTCCTTGCGTGCTTTTTGCACATCCTCCACATTATTTTGCTCCTCTGCTGAGGAGTCTGTGTCCGAATACAGACCCTCACTGTCATCGGCTTCGTCTGGTAATGCACACGGAGATATAGCCCCAGTATGAGCTGCTGTGCCATTTTCCACCGGGTAAGCTTGCGTTGGCGTTTCTGATGATATTTTAGTAATCGCGGTCTTGCGTCTTATGGTCTCCAGTTCCAGAATAGCGCGCACTTTTTCCTCACATTTGTCCGTATCGATTTGTGTCAGCTTGCGCAATGTCTTACTCATAACGTCCTTGGCGAGCATTTTCTTCAGTGCTGGACTAGCGTTGCCTGGCTGATGATGCGGTGGCGTGACCAGCTCACCTGGCTCCAGGCTATTATCCCCATCTTGTAATTCATCGGTTAATGCAGCGACCTCGACAATTGACGGCGTCGTCTTTTGTGTTTCGCTGCCGCCGTTGTCACCGCCTCCATCGATGCACGTCACAAGTGACATTTTTTCATAAGATTGAGCGGAAACGTTTTTCGTGTTGAACTAGACTGATTTTAGGTTCAATGGCGGCGCCGCGTTGCGTTGCTTGCACGATGAAAATATGTAGTAATCAATGCGTTTGCGTTTGCGGGGTGCGGGTGTGGGTGTGGGTCATCCTCATTGACAGAGCGGTGTGTACTTGCTGAATTGTTTCTTGATATCTTGATGGACGCCCGTTCCTGCGTTTTCCACGTTCGGAATACACGCTTCGTCGCATCCACGTGCACACGTTTTAAGTTTGCTTTTGTTTGAATACTTCATGTAAAAAAGTGTTTATGCATTTTCAAAGAGCTAATGTTCATTTTTGGGTCATGACTTGCGCAGACGATACCGATACTTTCAGGGCTGCAAAGCGATAGTTATATCGAATCGATGAAAATATCATTTGCATATAAGATTACCTTTAATATCGGCAGCCAACCATTACCATATTTGTGGAAGTTTGAGTAAATTAAAATTAAACTAGTTTTGTATTTCCAATAGAAATGTATTGTATATTTTAGCGATAACATACTATTTTTAATAAGCAAACTGCACAAGAGTATGCAATGGAACAGCTGCAACAGTTTGGCAAGCACTGACGAGTAAGGCAGTCAACTATCGATAAATGACAAATGATTAACGATGTACTTCAAATTGACTAAACGGAACGTAAATTAAATTTAATGCCAATAAAGTAAATGCATAATGCGTTTACCAGCGCAAATTGAGCAAAAATGCGCGCAAACATCACACTTTACATCAAAAGCCACTTATTTCCGCTTCCTACCGGCAATGCAAAGCGCACTCAAATGCGAAGTGCAAATAAATGACAAATAACGAGTACACCTGCTCCTCTTACCTGCTCGTTGTTGGCCCAGGCACCCAACTCAAGCGAAACGCTTTTTCCCTGTTCACAATTGAGGAAAAGCCACAACGTCTGCGATTATGACATAGCACATGGGAAAGAAAAAGAAGGGCCCTGCAGCCCAAGCATTTTCGCCAGCAGCCAAGAGAGTGCATCGAAATCAAGCCTTGGGGCTCATTCAGCCGGTGGCCTGGCCACAGTTTTTCTTGGCTTGTATATATTTGCATGGCAACTTTCACCGGTTGCTGCAGACCGAAAGACTTGTCACTATCTCTGCTGCTGCTGGTGCTGTCTCGACAGCTGCTGCTGCCGCTGCTGCAGCAGAGGCGAAAGGTGCAAATTAATTTGTAGCGCTCCAACAATAACCTTCCTCGCTTTGTCTTTGTCATTAAAGGTACTTTAAGTGTAACTTCTTTGAAAATCTTTTCTCGTTTTCCCAAAACTTCAAAATGTGACTTGCTATCGCTTTCGCAAATCGTATTTGTTAACTCAGCTTGCAATAAGAAAAATCCAACCATTGTCTAAAAAGATGTCGAAAAACAAATTCAGTTAAATATTCATAAGTATATATAGATATATGTATAACAGTAGCGGACTTTGACATTTCGTTTTTTTTTTCGTTTTCGTGTTGCCGCATTTTTTGAAATTTTTGCCATGTTAGTGTGAAAAACCTTGTGCTTTGTTTTCCTTCACGCGCAAGTCCTGCAGTTTTTGGTAAACATGCGTAAGCAAACGAAACAATGCGTCTATTCATTGCCTTTCTTACCTTGAAACGGCTTGAATACACACACGAGTTAACAAAATTGCCAATTTGACAATAAGACTAAGCTTTTCCGTAGGGGTTTAACATGCTTAAGCCGCGTTTGCATCTGGATTGGTTTAAGGTTTTTAGAATATGCTTACATTTTAGAGGCTGTACCAGTAAGACAACAATTTATGTTACAAGCTCTGCTAGTTTCCCTTAAAACCCTTTGTGATTTTGCTCTTCAAACTTCTTCTCATTCTCAATTTAGCTAGTTTCTCAAAGATTAACTCTGCTGGAAATTTGAACTTTTCCAGTGATTAAGCTTCGCTGTTCTCTTTAATTTCAAATTCTCAAAACACTCCCATAGTTATAAATCTGACAATTAACATTTCTAAATGCCATTTTAAGTCAAATATGTTTGCATCAATTCTTGTTGTTGTTGTTGTCGTTGAGTATTTATGATCTGCTTAACAAATAATAATAATAGAAAAAAGCGTTAAAAAGCGCAACGCTTCTTGGGCATTGAGGGCGACAGAGTTTGTTGTTAGTTGTTGTTGTTGTTGTTGACAAATGAACACTGCAAATGCCACTGCCTACAGCTACAGCAACAACTCCAACCAAACCAACCAACCAACCAAGTCATTGACATTCAACACGAAGCATCGAAGCCAACTGAAACTAAACAACCAACAGAGCTTGAACTAGAAAACTGTTAAATGGGCTTGCCAGAACGGATGGTGTTAATTGCTGAGATAGATAGAAAAAAGATGAAGTTTAAAAAAACAGCACATCCAATTGGCCTTTATATACAACAATAATAATAAAATGCAATTTAAATTTCACCATGCTTCAAAACAAAACTATCTTTAATTTGCGGATCTACACATTTGAACAAAATAGAATGATATGGTCACCCTTAATTCCAGTTCAAATTAGTTTTTTTGTAGTTGCACACGCTTTCATCTCATGCGAGCTGGAAAGCTCGTTTAATAAATACATATATAAATTTGTGAGGTGCTAAATAGCTGATGGCACCTGCGTGTAGCTTCACATGAGGTAAATGGGGGACGGGGCCATGCGAACATCGTCAATTTGCTAGAATTATTCTTTCTACTGATGAATCAGAAAATAAACAAACAAAACTCAGCTCCCAGCCAAGTTGCTCCAGTCCAAGTATTAGTAAATAAGTTGAACCTGCTCATTTTTGATACTTGTTTCGACACTAAAGATAGAATATTCGATTTCAAGAGTATATTTATATTTGAAATATAGACTTGAAAATTTAGATTCTTGGGAACCATTGTAAGGTAAGCTTCCACAGTTCCGTCCATTGTGGGCATGGTAAGCTCAGATAAACTCTTTTATGCACAACTCCACAAGTAGCCGTTGAACTGCTCTTAACTTTATATAACATTATACGTATATTATAATGTAATGCGGGTGAAACACCGTCCACCTGATTCATATATCCACGCCTTTTGGTTACCAAGCTATGCAGTTGGATTACTGATTACTGTAAGACCTATAAATTACAGAATCCATCAATCTCGATATTCGGTACTTTTTTTAACAAGTGAAACTAAAGAGTTATGGTTAGTAAAATAAATAAAGAACGGGGGAGCCCGCTACATTGCATCATGTGAATACCCGCTGTGCTTAGCTGCATAAAATCTAAAATTCCCCCTAAAAAAACAAAATAATATTAAAATACACTGAAACTAATTGGAGTCCAGTCTCCCGTGACCAACTTGATATATAATTGTCGCTTCGAGTGGGAAATCGGATGCGTTCTATGCATGTATATATGTAAGCCGGGTTACAAAGCTTCAGAGTTGGTGTCCGTTCGCAATTGATTCGTTAGATAGAGCATTGCAAATTCGACCACAGCTGTAAAATATTGGGAATGTCACGCATGACAAGCAAAAAAGATGTTTACTTGCTTTTTTCTGCTGCTTGTTTACCTTTTTTCTAAAACTTTTTTTTTTAACTTTTTACAATCTTTTTTTCATTTTTTTTTAATTTTTTCTTTATTATTAGCTAATTTTAAACAAAATCAAAATGGCGTCAACAAATTTTGCGCCTGTTATTTACGAGCTTTGCGGTGTTTTATTTTCTCTGCTTTTTTTATTATTTGGTTTTGTGTTGTTTCGTGTACATCTGTGATTAGTTATTAGGCAGACAAGCATGTCTATGCATGTGCTTGGTGCACACATACACATTCACATATACACATGGACCAGCATCGCTGTCGAGTCGTAAAGCCAGCATTAGCAGCACCTTTGTTTTTCACCTGCTGCCTGTACATTCCCAGACATTTCGCTGAGCCAAGTCGCTGGTGCCAAGTCTCCGCTTGGTACAGCCAATTCCCTAACTAACAAAGCGCAAATCAAGTTGCTTCAATCGAAACACACACAAAAAAATGTAAAATTAAAAATAATCTTTCAAGATCTGCATAATAAAAAGAAAATTGTTTTGCTTAAACAACACAAACTAAATAATAACAAAATAAAATTAAAATAGGCTGATTAAGTCCCATATAGTTAGCTACAAAATTGTAATTCGCTGCATAACGAATTTGAATTCGAAAATATGCAAAATTAATTCACACTGACTGCACAATTGCGCCGTAGACATTCACAATTGGCTGCCATATGCATATATAATATTGAAGAAATAAAAGCAAAAGTAAAGCGCGAATTCACGTTCAGGCTAATTAAAACTATTTCTACTATACTATACTATACAAATGAGATTCCATACATTGTTTTTCCTTAGGTTCAACTGCGCTTAAGTTTTATAAAAGTTAATTTGGCAATCATTTAGTTAATTCCACAGATGCTATGACCTTGAACTTGATCTTGAATATTGTTAAACAATTATGTAGATGAGCACTGAAACCAGAAAAGTGAGCTCACACAGGTTAAAGACTTAAGACGTTGCGACATATGTTAGCAATACAAAAACTCACAGAATTTCATTTAAAATTTAGCACGCGTTAGTGGTAGTAATTGTAGTAAAGCTTATATTAGGAATAAGCTTTAAGAGTTTCATTTATAAAATATATAATATATTTTATTTTAACCAAGATATGAAAGCTTTAAGATAATATATATTTTATATATAAACAATTGGAATAAAATATTGCAGGTATTCTCCAATATTTATTTATGAGGTAGACTGAACTCTCCATCTAAGTTTCAGACTCCCTGCATAATATATAACATATTGCAAGTAAATTAATTAAGCTTTGCTTATTGTACACAATGGAGTAAAACAAAGCTGATGCAATTAATGTTTTTTTTTTGGTTTTCATCTGGAATCGTTAATTAATTTGGCATTTCTGTTGCTTTTCGAATTTTATGCAAATCTTTTGAATTTCGGGAACGGAGAGAAACAATGCAAATGAAATGAAACTGAAAAACAGAAAGTCATGCGAAGTTTGAAGCCGGCAATTAGTGGAAGCTCTGACAGACTTGAATTCAAAGGCTTGGGATGCTGTAATGTCCAACTCCAGATGTTTAATGAACTGAGAAAGAGGGCGTGGTCAGGCGTCGCGGGCGTTAGCGTTAGCGTTCGCGTTGGCGTCTCGTTACATAAGCCAATGGCGAGCTGTAAAAAGAAATTTAATAACTAAATAAAACTCAAATGTGAACTGAGAGCTGAAATCCAAAGCTTTGTGCGACGACTGCGTTTGTTGGCTTGTGACATTTAAAAAAAAAGACTTATGTAATTATAGTGATATAAAAGAAAACATAAATAAAGTCGAGATTGCATAATGACAACGGTCAAACGCCGGTGCGGCCATTAGGTCATTGAGATATAGC